ACACTCGATGTGTTATCAACATTCTTCTCATCCTAAATGCAAAACACAGCACTGTGCCTGCTACTAGGAAGAAAATTAACTCTATCCCAGCTGAAACCAGGACAATAATTTATTTGCTTGCTTGGAAAAAACTAACCATCTTTTTCTCTTTCCTGCCCAGCAAGCAATGACCAGTGCTGTACCTGAGCTTCCAAAAGGCAGAACAGGCAACATGTGGGGAGCCAATGTGCATGCCAGCAGGTACAAAACCACAAACTTTACTCCTGCTTTGTCCTAACGAAGCTGAACGCAAAGGAAAAGACTGACTCGCTCAAATGCAGGGAATTACTGCAGCGTTACTGCTGAGGAGTACCTGGGACTCAAGCTTTTTAACAAGTGCAGCAGAAGCGCCAGGACTGACTGGTGGCGGTGACCAGGGAGGAGAGGATTTTTACGGCCCCAGCCACTCCCTGCGCACCCCAAGGCAGCAGGAGGCTGGAGCTGAGGGGGTGACAAGGCAAGCTGGGGCATCGCTGCTCCGTGCTGCTCACGCACCGCTGAAGCTCAGCCCCTACCCCAGAGCCCCCCCCGTAGCGGATAGCCCTCCTTGCTGGGAAACCTCTGCGATTTTTGTCGGTCTCTGTTGTACACACAGGCTGGGGGGAGTCCAATAGCGATACCAGTGTTAAGTATTATTACTATTAATAAAGCTGATGCAAAAGTTAAGCTGTTTTAACAGCTAAATGTGTTCAAGCGTTTTTCTTTCGGATTTTTAAAAGGGATATTTAAAGCCTGTTATTCCTACTTCCTCCTGTTTTCCTTTTAAAGGAAACACTTGTATGAGTGGCAGGGAGGGAACCACGCAGTTTTTTATGAAAACATCTTCATAACGTTTATATTATTATCTGTCATTTATACTAACTCCGTGTACTAAAAAGAGCCATTTTCCTCGATTTACCCTGTGATGAGAATGAAGCCTTTTAGAGCTTGTACGAAATTTGTAATAGCACTGATCTGGAGTTGTGGGACCTGTGCAAAGACAGGGAACATAAGCCCTTCAAATATGATTTTAACTAAAACAAAATTGACATTTTAATCTCCAGTTCTGACCTCTGTCTTTCTTTAAGGCTAATTAGCCCATCTTCCTGATTTTCATAACTTCATTTAAAATGTATATTAATGTAGGCTATTTAATTTCCTGGTTAATCACAATATGAAACAGGGTGATTTGGCAGCAGTTCTGTAAAGCACAATTTCAGCTGGTGACTGCAGCACAGGCAAGAAGCCCTCGGTGCCAAAACAGTAGCTGAGAGTGTGTCATCATCCTAACCTTGATGTTTTCTAAAAAATAAAGGTGAAAGCAAAGTAAGATTTTGTTACTATTTCGTTTTTTTTCTGTTCCTTTCCTAGATGGCAACAAGTACAGTACCCCTATGGTTACCGTAACCCAACAACTATTTTGCTTGTGAACTTGAAGAGAAGCTCAATGATGGATAAATGAGACCCTAAAGGCACTGTATCATGTCAGGGCGGTTGGGGGTTGGTTTTGTTTGAGAAATTGAATGGGAGAAAGGTTAATCATCAGGGGTTTTTTTCTGTTTACTTGCTTTGCTCTGTGTTTTTAAGGATAGCTTGTTCCTGGTAAGTAAGGATGGTTCTTTACAAATACCTGTCGTGGTTTAGCCAAAACCAGGACAATACCGAATCATTACTTTTATATCAGATGCAAAAAGACTGTATGATCCAACAGCAGAACCACTATAGCACTTTGCCATAAACAGAGATATGTGACAGCTATAACCAGAACTTTATGACTTTATTTCTCCCCCTCTGTATATTGGGCTGTTATCAAATAAAATAACATGCCAGAAAGTGTGGTTTTGTCCTGGGGAAAATTCAGAAAATGTTACTCTTCCATGGAAAGCATTAAGCTAAAGATAACACTTTATAAAAGACAAAAAGAGGCAGTGATGGCAGGGGATAAACACTTTAAATGGCCTAGGAAGTGCATTACCATCCCAAATTAAAAACCTGTTCATAACAGATGGCAGCAAATGCGGTGTGCGGAAAGACTTGGAAAATGCTGACACAGTGGGAAAGCAGAAAGATGACTGACAAAACAGGAACTACCCCAGGACACCCACAAAAACACTGGAAGGCACTGCCTTCCAGGAATACAAAACTACTGACTTTACATTATTCACCATCTCCCAAATTGAGTAAACTAGGCATTTTTGTCAGTTAATTAAAGAGTGGGGGAAAGCGTAGCTCAGCACTGGGGAAAAAAAAAATGGATTTACCACATTTTCCTTTAAATATTTGTTTGAGCGGCTGATTTCTGATTTGGAAGCTGTTCTGGGGTCCTGTTCTTATAAATACAGTTTGTCTGAAACGTAGTGTTGATGGTGAAAGTTAATATAAACTTCAGCATAAGTTGTTCACTCTACTTTTGTCCAGCTCTTGTCTCCCACTCCATTGAGGTTAGCAGAGTTTTGTCCCCAAAAATGAGGGGGGAAGAGCCATCTCGCCAACAGCAGTACTGAGCACTGCCCTGGAAATGAGTTTGCCGCCACCAGGTCTTAGAAACAGCCACCAGCAGAACTGCCCTGCTTGGGTGTGAAGGGCATGAAGACAGCCACAAGTGACTAGAAAGACAGGCCAGCCCCTCTGATGCCTTTAATTTCATGTCTTCCCTTGGTGGCAGAGGTCTGCAGGCAGGAAAAACACTGCTTCAGGGCCTGGACCTCATTCACAGGATGACGGCAACACAACCTGCCTCTCCACTAAGTTCTTCCTGGTTTTTGGCCATTGCAGTTTCAGTGAGAGCTGATCTGCATGCGTTGGCTCGAAGAGGCAGCTCGCTCCCTTTCCTCCTTGCATCACTACCATGTGTTATGAAGACAAACATAGGCAGCTTACAAAAAACGAGCCACTGTGTTGGCATTTCTGTAACATGCACATAAACCAACACTGGGCTGGAAATCTTGCAGCGTAAAAGGCTACCTGATTTGCCTTGACCTTCCAAGTCCCGTACCTGTGATTCCAGGATCAAACCAAAGCATCGGGTAAAACCTAGGTGCCAATGGGCTAGTCACCACCAGTCCCTTGAAGAAGTCTGTCCTTACTCATCAGCATCTTTCTCTAGGGAAGGGGACAACTTCTTTACATTTCCATGCCACCAACTGATCTGAGCTTTTCTCCTGCACTTTCTAAGCTGGTACATAGGAGTTTGTACTTCAGAAATCTGCCTGAAATGGTGTGCACATCACCCTTGGGAATATTATTTTGCAAGACCTGACTGAAATCAACCCTAACGCTTGCTGGACTTTGGGACCATGTATTTATGTTTGGGAAACATGCAGGGCTTGGGGTGGGCCACGTATAGGTGGGCAAGTGCATACCCTCTCCCCATAAGAATGAAGGTGTGCAGCCCACCAGTGTTTGAGAGGGACCTGGAAATTCACAACCCCCTTTGGTGGCTTTTGGAGAAGCAAGATTGTACAAGGAAGTACACGTGGGACTAGTGAGACAGTATAGCCAAAGAGGGTGGAGGCCAAGTGGATGCCAGGCTGTGTCCCTGGGTCTTCATGGGGCAGGGAAGCTGCTGCTAAGCAGGAAGGCATGCGGCATCCCTGAACCCATCACACCGCAAAGCCCACCATGCCTGGGACCTCCCTTACCCAGTCACGGGTGCTGTCCCCCCCAAGGAGACAGATCAGCCAAGTGGATAAATGTCCAGGACATCAAACTCAAGGAGGCTCAGTACGCCTTCCTCGCTTGCCACTTGTGCTGCCAACACAGGATGTCACCTGCCTGGGTGTTTCTCCATGTGAAACAACAGGAGTGGCGATGACTTGCTGGTGGGCACCACCAACAGCCACAGCTGGAAACACCTCCATGGAGAGCTCAGCTGTAGTGGCCACCCCAAAAGAGCTGGCACCACGCAATGGCCAAGTGGTGGTAGGTGCCAGGGAGGCAGGTGCTGGGGAGGGGAGCCCCGTGCCCTCACCGGACCTGATGTCCTACCTGGGATCCTGTTGAGTGTCACCCAGAAGTGCTCGTCGGGGCTGTAGGTGTCCTCGGACCATGCCAGCAGATCGATGGCGCGCTGGTCCCGCAGCACGAACTCCACGAAGGGCCGGGTGACGGCCACGTACGCGGAGCCAAAGTAGATGGTGATGTTGTGGGGTGGAGGTGCCTTGCGCAGCCGGGGGGTGACCAGCCCCAAGGCTTTGTGCCCGGCCCCCTCCCTGTGCACATATTTGGTGCGGGCGGTGATGTGGGGGG